CGCCGTAACAACAAATCACGCTTAGTCACGCTTTGTCACGCATGGTCACGCTTTGTATAATTCGTCATCTTCCGACACTTCTGGCCACATATCATCACGCCTTTACAGTAAATCACGCCTAGTCACGCTTTGTCACGCTTAGTCACGCATGGTCACGCTTTGTAAATCTTCGTCACATTACGACACTTATGACGATCCCTCGTAACGACGTGAGCGCTAGATCACGCATAGACGCCTTTACAGTAAATCAGGCATAGTCACGCTTAGTCACGCTTTGTCACGCTTAGTCACGCATGGTCCCGCTTTGTAAATCTTCGTCCCATTACGACACTTATGACGATCCCTCGTAACGACGTGAGCGCTAGATCACGCATAGACGCCTTTACAGTAAATCAGGCATAGTCACGCTTAGTCACGCTTTGTCACGCTTAGTCACGCATGGTCCCGCTTTGTAAATCTTCGTCCCATTACGACACTTATGACGATCCCTCGTAACGACGTGAGCGCTAGATCACGCATAGACGCCTTTACAGTAAATCAGGCATAGTCACGCTTAGTCACGCTTTGTCACGCTTAGTCACGCATGGTCCCGCTTTGTAAATCTTCGTCCCATTACGACACTTATGACGATCCCTCGTAACGACGTGAGCGCTAGATCACGCATAGACGCCTTTACAGTAAATCAGGCATAGTCACGCTTAGTCACGCTTTGTCACGCTTAGTCACGCATGGTCCCGCTTTGTAAATCTTCGTCCCATTACGACACTTATGACGATCCCTCGTAACGACGTGAGCGCTAGATCACGCATAGACGCCTTTACAGTAAATCAGGCATAGTCACGCTTAGTCACGCTTTGTCACGCTTAGTCACGCATGGTCCCGCTTTGTAAATCTTCGTCCCATTACGACACTTATGACGATCCCTCGTAACGACGTGAGCGCTAGATCACGCATAGACGCCTTTACAGTAAATCAGGCATAGTCACGCTTAGTCACGCTTTGTCACGCTTAGTCACGCATGGTCCCGCTTTGTAAATCTTCGTCCCATTACGACACTTATGACGATCCCTCGTAACGACGTGAGCGCTAGATCACGCATAGACGCCTTTACAGTAAATCAGGCATAGTCACGCTTAGTCACGCTTTGTCACGCTTAGTCACGCATGGTCCCGCTTTGTAAATCTTCGTCCCATTACGACACTTATGACGATCCCTCGTAACGACGTGAGCGCTAGATCACGCATAGACGCCTTTACAGTAAATCAGGCATAGTCACGCTTAGTCACGCTTTGTCACGCTTAGTCACGCATGGTCCCGCTTTGTAAATCTTCGTCCCATTACGACACTTATGACGATCCCTCGTAACGACGTGAGCGCTAGATCACGCATAGACGCCTTTACAGTAAATCAGGCATAGTCACGCTTAGTCACGCTTTGTCACGCTTAGTCACGCATGGTCCCGCTTTGTAAATCTTCGTCCCATTACGACACTTATGACGATCCCTCGTAACGACGTGAGCGCTAGATCACGCATAGACGCCTTTACAGTAAATCAGGCATAGTCACGCTTAGTCACGCTTTGTCACGCTTAGTCACGCATGGTCCCGCTTTGTAAATCTTCGTCCCATTACGACACTTATGACGATCCCTCGTAACGACGTGAGCGCTAGATCACGCATAGACGCCTTTACAGTAAATCAGGCATAGTCACGCTTAGTCACGCTTTGTCACGCTTAGTCACGCATGGTCCCGCTTTGTAAATCTTCGTCCCATTACGACACTTATGACGATCCCTCGTAACGACGTGAGCGCTAGATCACGCATAGACGCCTTTACAGTAAATCAGGCATAGTCACGCTTAGTCACGCTTTGTCACGCTTAGTCACGCATGGTCCCGCTTTGTAAATCTTCGTCCCATTACGACACTTATGACGATCCCTCGTAACGACGTGAGCGCTAGATCACGCATAGACGCCTTTACAGTAAATCAGGCATAGTCACGCTTAGTCACGCTTTGTCACGCTTAGTCACGCATGGTCCCGCTTTGTAAATCTTCGTCCCATTACGACACTTATGACGATCCCTCGTAACGACGTGAGCGCTAGATCACGCATAGACGCCTTTACAGTAAATCAGGCATAGTCACGCTTAGTCACGCTTTGTCACGCTTAGTCACGCATGGTCCCGCTTTGTAAATCTTCGTCCCATTACGACACTTATGACGATCCCTCGTAACGACGTGAGCGCTAGATCACGCATAGACGCCTTTACAGTAAATCAGGCATAGTCACGCTTAGTCACGCTTTGTCACGCTTAGTCACGCATGGTCCCGCTTTGTAAATCTTCGTCCCATTACGACACTTATGACGATCCCTCGTAACGACGTGAGCGCTAGATCACGCATAGACGCCTTTACAGTAAATCAGGCATAGTCACGCTTAGTCACGCTTTGTCACGCTTAGTCACGCATGGTCCCGCTTTGTAAATCTTCGTCCCATTACGACACTTATGACGATCCCTCGTAACGACGTGAGCGCTAGATCACGCATAGACGCCTTTACAGTAAATCAGGCATAGTCACGCTTAGTCACGCTTTGTCACGCTTAGTCACGCATGGTCCCGCTTTGTAAATCTTCGTCCCATTACGACACTTATGACGATCCCTCGTAACGACGTGAGCGCTAGATCACGCATAGACGCCTTTACAGTAAATCAGGCATAGTCACGCTTAGTCACGCTTTGTCACGCTTAGTCACGCATGGTCCCGCTTTGTAAATCTTCGTCCCATTACGACACTTATGACGATCCCTCGTAACGACGTGAGCGCTAGATCACGCATAGACGCCTTTACAGTAAATCAGGCATAGTCACGCTTAGTCACGCTTTGTCACGCTTAGTCACGCATGGTCCCGCTTTGTAAATCTTCGTCCCATTACGACACTTATGACGATCCCTCGTAACGACGTGAGCGCTAGATCACGCATAGACGCCTTTACAGTAAATCACGCCTAGTCACGCTTTGTCACGCTTAGTCACGCATGGCATCACGCCTTTACAGTAAATCACGCTGACCTACTGAACATGAGCCTCCCTCGGTTGCCCCTTAGTGACCTCAGTCAAGTCAGGGTAGGCACAAGTGCCTTCCAAGTTACCGAACTAAGGAGTTCCTGCATCAGCTAACTTTGAGTCGGAGCTCTCAGTCAGTGCTCTGATGTGGTCGGCGAAGAATGAAATCACAAAATCTTCGTGATTTTGCTTGTTACCAACGTACGAAAGCGCTCTAGTCGCAATGCGCAGACACTTGGATTTCAAGATCTGCAGCTTCCGGACGTGGTTGCTGGCAGCTGATCGGGCATGCAGTGAGTGGGTTCTTCTCGAAGAGCTTACCGACACTATCAAAAAAAAAAACTTTGGAGAGAGATAGAGGTCCGAGAAAGTGGCCTTCTAAGGGACCCTCGGGGTCCGGCAGGTGGAACACCGGACATGTGAGAGGTGGGTGAACTTTACGAGGAGAAACAAGGATAATGGAAATAAGTACTGGCCATCTCGACACAGGATTTCTTGATTTTTGTCTTCTTTAAGCAAATTCTGAAGTGGTTCCAAAATTCAAAGTTGCCATTGCATACTTCTCATCAAAATTTACCGCCTTACAGTGGAGGCCGCTAAGTTACAGTATTCTACATGTCCAGTGACAATCTTCCTTAATAATTAACTTAACAGTACGTTACTTATAGATTTAGTGGGATTCGAACCCACGGTCCCAGCAACCAAGCGGCACAAGGCCCACGCCTCAGACCGCGAAGAGCGCTTTTAAAATACAAAATTTATCTCGTCAATGAGACAAAGAAGTTTTACAGGGCTACTAGACGGTTTTATAACTGACCCACAGATGTCAGAGTATGTCAATGTTGTTTGATCGATCTAAGCTGATAATCATGCGATAAGGAAGCTTCTATATCAGGTGGTTCTCTCTAGTACCGTGCAGCGTTTGTTTCATGGGAAGGCGCGTACTTCTATAGAAGCCTGTAGTAGCTACGTAAACTTAGGGCGGTGTTTTTAATTCTTTATATGTTGTTTCCGTTTTGCAAGCAACTTCCGGCTGATTATACTTACGCGTGTGCGTGTGTTGTTTTAGTTTATTACATTTAAGTTTGTGACTGTAATAATTGTGTCTGTGTCTGAATTGCCATTGTTATATTTTCTGTTTCCACTGCATGTATTATATGAATTTTGCAGTAATATATACATCAGTTGTGAATAATTATTATTGCGGTTTAATTAACGAAAATGACTAGAATGAACCTGGATGGAGAGTGTCAGGACCTAGCATCGTTGCGCTTGCGTCAAAATTATACAAAATTAGCCGAAGGTAAAGCTGATACCGTTGAATTAACGTAGAGGGTCGTAGTGTTATTGAAGTGTGGGTAATTAAAAGATAATTTATTTATTAACAAAACAAAACATTGATACAATTTGTACCTTTATACATCGAGATTATTTGTGCAGGGTTGCTGCACGTAGTTCAGGCAAAATCCTCTGTTGCCCACGTCATTTGGAGCTTCAACATTGTTTGTGTGGACAGTCAGCCTGAATGGTTTTACTGTGCCTGTTGAAAGTTTTTGAAAATTAACATAACATGGATTGCAAAAGGCAAAGTTTCTAAATATAGGTAAAAGTGGAATGAAATATTTCCAGAATAGAATTAAGAAGATTACTACTAACCAGCTTAATATAAAAACTAAGTCTTGTAGAGTAGAGCCCTTCTTGAGAAGCTGATAGTGTCTGAGCAAGTCAAGACGTTTACTTGTCTTATATATAATAAACATGCATATAACATTTTAGTTTCAATATCTGAAGATAAGAGACCATTTTGAAGACCCAAACATAGATGGGAGAATGATATTAAAATTTATCTTTAAGAAACAGGATATGGGCTGGATACGGATCTTGTTAGCGGATCTACAATTTCCCCAAATCGCAGGATTATTCTTTATTGGATGAGCGACTACTAGGTTCTCAAGAAAGATTGCTCTATTGAATTAGTTCCATGCGCAGAATATGCATCAGATAAAAGGAATTTGTTGTCATATTAGGTTGATGATTTCTGTTCAACATCAAACATAGTTCTGTCTCATATGAGTAAATGGTTTGCTGCTAACAAGCTGGCCCTAAATCTTGATAAAACAAATATAATAAAATTTATAATAAATAACTCACCACAGCTTGCTTTAAGTATTGGTTATAATGGAGTCAGTAAATACAAAGTTCCTGGGTTTGCAAATTGATAACCACCTGAATTGGACTAATCATATTGATAAACTGATACCTAAGTTAAGCGGAGCATGTTACGCAGTTAGATCTCTGTTGCATGTTAGCAACACTGACACACTCAGATCAGTACATTTTGCCTTTTTTCACTCTTTAATGAAGTATGGAATAATTTTGGGGGTAATTCATCAAACAGCAAAAAGATATTGACTTCACAAAAGAAAACTGTTAGATTATTGGCTGGCGTAAAACCTAGGAATTCATGTAGAAGTCTGTTTAAGAGATCAGAAATCTTACTTCTTCAACGTGAGTACGTGTTCTCATTAATGAACTTTATTGTAAATAACCAAGAACTCTTTCAAACCAATTCTGCTGTACACAGTGTCAACACAAGGAATAAAAATCAGCTTCATAGACCAATTGCCAACCTCTCATGCTTTCAGAAGAGTGCATATTATGCAGGAATCAAAATTTTCAACAGTCTACCATCAAATCTCACACGTCTTGTAAATAAAAAGGCACAATTTAAACCAGCATTGAAAAGATACTTAATTACACACTCCTTTTACTCTGTTGATGAATTTCTGTGACATTTATATGACTTGTAATTGTATAACATGTATTATTATGACTTTCTCCACATCCTATTGTCATCTGACTAACTTATGGATCCATGGAATGTAATAAAGATGTATGTATGTATGTTAAAAAAAATTACAAAATTGAGAAATTTTGTAACTCAGAATTCAAGGGACAAGGATTAATCTGATTTGTGATTCAGCTCCAGGCCTCAACAGGATAAGGTTATGAGTTTACTAGCTACGTTTGCGTACTTACTGATTACTGTTGCCGGTGTTGTCGAGATTTCTGTGTTGAAAGTTCCCCCGCAGATGCGATCTATGCATGCCGGTAATCCAGTTCTGCCAACATTTGTAGCACATGGGATAATGAGCCAGTCTGTGTTACAGGAGTTAGGGCCGATCGTACCTGTACTTGAGGATACTGCAGTTTGACCTTGAGTGTTGCCAGAGAGAGTGAACGCATGCGTCCTGTTGTTCACTGAAATTAATCAGTTATTTATTACTTGCATAATGGAGTAAGAATAAAACATCTGTTTCTGGGACACTCTAACCTTAAAATGATAACCAAAACTGATATTATTTTTTAAAGAATAAGTATTTTTATGTTTGGTTATTCTCACAGAGGGCTATAAGTTCTTAGTAATGGCTGTAGATTCCATCGTTCATATGCTGCTTCCATTAGGCAGCTTGTTGAAATACTTCTAATATGGATAGCAAACACAATGAAGCAATGTAATATATAGTTGATATTTTAAATTATTATCTTGAGTTAAAAAGGATGGGGAAAGAATACAGGAGAAAGAAGGGGCAGAGATAAAGGTTCAAACAGGATACAAGAAAGGAGGACAGGATTGAAGGAATGATCGTAGGAAAAAAAATCATTCCTAGTTTAATTTCAGTAGTAATTCCAGTAGTTATTGGATAATTGTTCTTTTGCAAATATTATTTTAACCTAGTATCGTTAGGGTGATAAGTGGCGGATATGAGAAATACACACAAAGTTTTGGTCGACGACACTCGTGAGGAATGAACGCTTGGGAGACCTGCTTGTGGGTTGGGCACAATGCTAAAGTCCCTCTTAAGGAAACAGGTTGCAAATTTGTCGTCTGGATTTAACAAACCGAGAAAAGTCTGGTGAATATATTGATGAACTTTTGGATTCTCTAGCAACAGGGAATTTTAAACAATCTGAATGTATGTCAACTGCTAAAATGCAGTCCCCGAACTACAAACCTAGTAATAATATTCAGCTACAAACATTTCTGAGCTTTGTTTGTGGCCTTGACATATATTAAGTGTAGACTTATAACTATCCAATACTTTAAAGCAGATTTCTTCTTGGGAAACTCATATTCTAATTGCCTTTCACCAATATCTTCATAACGGCCTGCCGCTGGACACTGTATTGAGCCAGTTGAATCCAATCCATACCCTTACACATTATTTCCTTAAGATCAGTTTTATTATTGTTCTGTTATCTGTGCCGAGGATTCCAAAGTTGTCTGTTCACTTCAGGTTATCTGACTAAATGGAATGGATCAGAGAAATTCATAGAGAGTTGCTGTACTCTCCTGAAACTTTGTCTAGAGAGCCTGAGGACAACCATAATAATCTATTAAGGTCAAATCAAACAAAAATTAAAATGAATTCTGTCATCTTGATAGTATTTATTTTGTTCTTTGTTACAGAAAGGCCATGGAAGACCACTTCTGCAAAACGTGTGTCACGTGCTTGGAAGAATTAAGGTACGAGAATTTAATATTTCAGTTATTATTAATCATTTATGATACATATTTAAAAATGGGTTGATCTAGTAACCTGTAATTTGTAATATCACTTGTGCTTTGAGATATTTGTTATGTTATAACATAAGAAAAGACAAGTGAGATCTTAGGTTTATACAGCGGTGTTATTGTTTAAAGGCAAAGTTGTATGTGCGGGCTCTCGAGGCTTAATCTGTAAAGTGACTAGGCTCTGTTCATGGTGACAGGGAATCTCTCCCTCGCTGTCATTCTCAAGATGGTTCCGAGGCCCACCCTGCCTCGTATACAACAGAAATTTGGCTTTTATTGTACCTGTGTCAGGACAGGCTGTGTACTGAATTCCGCAGAAGTTCCTCTCCATGCGGATACAGATGCTGTAATCTTGCTTAGATAACTGAAGGCCTGCCCCTGGGTCGTAGTTGTAGGACTTTATCTGTCCAGACACACCAGTAAAGTACTGGAGACATCCCTCTTCAGCTGGAAGAACAATTTGATTACTTTTTTATTTTTCAGGAATAAAAATAATTTAATCTACTTTGTCAAAAAGTAGTGTAAGCATTTAGGGATCATGTACTAAAATATGTTTTGTGCCATGTGGTGGATCTCTCAATTGTGTCTGCTGAGAATGCCTACAGGGAGATCTGAGAATATTGTAAAACAGATTAATCGGGGAAAGTTGTCATAGAACGTAGTAATGACATAGTATTTATGGTAGTATGGGAGTAATAGTAGTGATGTTATGGTGGTTTTTATGGTGTAATATATCTATTACAGCTGTGTAAATATTTTTGACAAGTTCTTTTGAATGTTTTATGAGTGACATCTGATTTGCATGAATATTTTATTGAAAGAGAACATTTTATTTTTGCACTAAGAATATTAAAATCCATGCAAATTTTATGCAGTGCAGCAGTTAAAGGTGGATTTTCTGTCATTCATGCTCGGTTTCCACAGAGTTGACCCCTTCATTAAAGTCTCAATTCTCTGGCATGGTTTCCGCGTCGTAAAGACCTACTGACAGTTGTTGTAAAGGACGAATTTAAGCGTAGAATGCATACAGCCTTCTTTTATTGCTCACACATTTATGTCTACAGATTTTGTGTTGTTAGGTAATGCAAGTTTATAATTGGACAATGAAATGCTGATGGGTTGGCATGCTGAGAATAACATAAAATGCAGATAAACACATAATTCATTATTCACTGTAAACATCTCAACTTATTTAATAAATTATAGTGTAATTATTAATATCTGAGAAGACATGTCAACAGAGACGCCAAGACATGATGGTTTTTATCACGTACCACTGTAAGAAAACCAAACTAAAAATGCTGCGTACCTCTGTAGATGGTGTTGCATGGAATCTGGCAGATTTTGACCTTCCAGTTTCGTGGGAAAGATGGTCCACTGGTTACAAAGTTGAGTGTCACAGGATTGGTGTTTCCCACTCCTGCATCTATGTACACTGAAATCACAGGGTACCTTCAGTGGTCGTCTGTTATGGCAACGGAAGTCACGATATGGCTACAGTGTTAGATATTCTGGGTGTATGTAACGTAGATCTTTGATATTTAATTGGAATATTCTTTGAAATTTATATTGAACGGTTTTATGGATATTGAACTTGATTACCATTCCTTCAAATAATTTGGAGATAACGTATCATAATTAATTTTATTTGCTTGAAACATATTCAGTGTCATACGGTATTGTGGTTGGAA